GTTGTTCGGGCATGACATCTGCTTGTTAGTAGTAAGTCTGGTCCGAGTTTCGATTCTCCCCGAGTGTAGGATGTGCTACTCGAATTATAGGTGCAAGAGTAATGATCGGGGCGCGTATCATAGCCTCCAACCATTGTGTGTGTGCGTGTGTGTATATACATATAAAGAAATAATCCGTGACTATTATACGAGCCTTCTATCACTTTCCTTAAAGCTCATGTTGTCAGAGGGGTATTCAAACTCCCGACCTAAGGGGGTCTTACACCAAAGATGCCTACCAACAGGCCAAGGGACGCGACACAAAATTGAGTAAACATTAATAGAAACTCAACAACAAAAATTCAATAATGAGACAAAATAGCATCATCTACTAAAATACATTTGAATCATATCGTCAGTCAAAATAATGGATGTAAAATCATAATAGAAGAAGAAGAAAAAGAAAGAATTGACTCGGGCTGTTTATAATATATAAAAATAATAATAATAAAGAATTATGATATACATTATATTTTTACAATGTATGATCCATCGGAATCATAAAATAGAGCCCAATAGCCATAGATGCAAGAATATCCAATATCCTATAAGACCCAGCCTTGCCCCAGGCTTGCTCATCAGTATCCGGCCTCCTGAAACCCTGCACGAAGCCATCCATTTCAGTATAACAGTTTCTGTATATATCTACATCTACACACACACACACACACACACACACACACACACACACACACCACACACACACACACACCATTCAATTCCTATTGATTTACATGTCCAACATCAAAAGTTTGATTCTTGCATATAAACTCCTTATGCATAAGAAGGTCTGTTTCACTGTTTAAAAGTTAAAAGTAGTGAAATTTTTTATGTGCTATGACAGACTTGGATGGCACAAAGGAAAAAGGTAAAGTTCAGGTGTGTGATTTGTAAATAAATAGGAACTGGGAGGGATGTATGTAAATGCCCCCATGAACTATAATTTACAATTCAATTGCTTTTCCATATCTATCTATCTATCTATATATATATATGGAAGCTTTAAATCAATGCTACTAAATTCCTATGTATTTGGGTATCCAACATCAAAACTTCAATTTTCACGTATATGCACGGTGTGTTTCACTTTTTCAAAGCTAAAATAATGATATTTTTTATGCAATATGAAAGATCTAGATTGTATAAATGTAAAAAAGCAAAGGTTTGGTGTTAGATTTGTAAATATATAGGACTTTTGGGGGATGTATGTACATGTCCCTATCAATATAAAATTGTAAAGAAAATGAATTTCTTCACATTTCCTATATATTAATTATGTTAGAATAAAAAAAATTAATACAATATAAAAAGCTAAAAAGGTTGCATTGACAAAACAGTTTCAGACTTCGATTGGTGCTGCTTATCAGCTGCAGCGGCATTTTGAAACTGCGTTTGAGCAGCTTATCCGAAAATGCAGTTGGTTTTATACACTAAACACAGAACGCGGGTCGAACCCTGCAGTTCACATTTCCAGATAAGCGGCTTATCTGGATAAGCACAAGCTGCCCCAATCACACCCTCACTCTTGCTAGATGGCTCAAGCTATAGTAAAAAACATGAAAATGACAAAAATATCAAAAAAAGGGAAATTTACATACATACCGCACAATTCTACTAAATTTATATATCTAACAGTTAAAATTTTATATTTACATTTCTAAGACTTTCATGTGATAAACCAATGCATGGAAAGGTGTATCTAACTTTCTAAGTGTAGGTTATAGCAGTATTTTTGAGGTAATACTAAAGATTTAGTGCTATGTATATAAATGATAAATTTTGGGAATTAGCTATGTAAATACATAAAAAATACAGCTCAATTTCTATGCATTTACATATCTAATACCAAAACTTCAATTTTTACACATGCCACCTTGTCAATGCATGAAAATGTGTATTAAAGTTTAGACAGCAGTAATTTTGATGTGATGCGAAAGATTTGGGTGATAAAAATACAAAAAATAAAGTTTACGTGTTAGATATGTAAATACATAGAAATTGAGCAGTATGTATGTAAATGCCTCAAAAGAAAGATAAAGTTCAAATCATACCAAATTCCATCAACCCTGTCTGCAATCAATCTCCCATGCTTTGGTATCAGTCCAGATGTATTCAGAGATTTAAATACATGACCTGCAAGAAAATAAAAACTTATGTATTACAACATAAAACCATGAACTTTCAGTTTGAACCTTAATAAGGTTATGGAACCAAACCTTTTTCGTCAGTTTCATGGGAAGTAATCAGCTGCTCAGACTCAGATTGAATATTAAGAACAAGATGTTCATTTGATCCTTTTCTTGTTGTTCTCACATGTGCAGAGACAGCAGGGGGTTTTGTGCTAATTCCCACAGGGCCCTGCAAATATTGTAAAAATGTGGGTGCTTTGAGTAAAAAAAAACCAGCAGTGTGTATGGGTAAGATTGTAAATGTTGAAAAGATGGTAGGATAGGAATGTGAATTATTGGGTCAAAATCAAACAATTGAACTGAACTGAGCTCATTTAATTGATTCAGTCCGATTTTAAAATGAAAAGTCGGTTTTTGATTATAAAAGTTTTAATATTTGGTTTCGGTTTCAAAAAATAAAAATTAAATTAAGATTAGGAAATTAAATGCATTTATGATATCCCACTTGAAGTGTGACAATATCTAGAAAATTAAAGAGTATTTTTGCTTACTAATATATTTAATATTATTTTAAAAAATAAAAAGATGTCTGAAGAGTGGAGAAAGAGTATTTTGGTCTCACTTTTAAGAATAACAAAAATCCACAAGAGTTTGCAAGTTATAGAGGAATTAAGTTAAGGTGTCATACTTTAAATTATAGGAGACGGTAATTGAACATAGGTTAAGACGCGATACAAAGATTTCTCATAATCAGTTTGGATTTATGTCGAGCAAGTTTACATGGAAGTTATACATTTATTGAGCAGTTTGATGGAGAAATACAGAGTGTTAAGAGGATCTACATATGATTTTTATTGATTTAGAAAAAGCTTACGATAGGGTTCCAAGAGAAGTTCTCTGGAGAGTTTTAGAAAAGAAAGGTATTGATATTACTTATATTGAAGTCATTAAAGATATGTATGCAGTATGCTAGAGTTGTTACTTGTGTTCGAATAGAACAGGGATTGACCAAGTATTTTCCTATTTCAGTCGAATTACATCAGGGATCGACTTGAAACCCATATCTTTTTTGCTTTAGTTATTGATGCTTTTACTGGACATTTACAAGAGGATGTACCTTTGTATATGATTTTGGCGGATAATATCCCTCTTGTTCATAAGACTACACAAAGAGTTAAAAAAAAACTAGAATTATGGAGGTCTACATTGGAGTCTAAAGGTTTTCATTTGAGTAGATCTAAAATTGAATGCATGGAATGTAATTTTAGTAGTAGTGGCTCTAGTGATAAAGATGTAATTATCGGTGATCAAATCATTAAAATGTATTAAACTTTTAGATATTTAGGGTCTATTATTCAGAGTGATGATGATATAGATGGGGATGTTATTGGTAGCATTTAGGTTGGTTGGTTGAAATAGAGGAATGCATCGTGTCTATTGTGCCATAGAAAAGTACCGTTCACACTTAAAAAGGAAAATTTTATAATATGGTGGTGAGACCTACAATGCTTTATTGCACAAAATGTTGGCCTTTAAAAGAGAAGCATAAAACAAGTTAAGTGTTGCTGAGATGAGAATGTCATAAGTGGATGAGTGACATGACACTTAGAAACAAAATATGAACGAATATATCCATAAAAGGGTTGGTGTACTCCAGTGGCAAGAGTCGTCTTAGATGATTTGGTCAGACTAGACATCGACCATCTAATGATCCGAAGTAGACCTAAAAATATTTAGTCATGTTGTATAAAAAATGATCTTAATCTATTAGAATTAAATGAAAATATGACACTCAATAGGAGATGAAATTGAATAGGGGACAATGGAGAAAAAGAATTCATGCAGGCGACCCTAGTTACTGGAATAAAGGCTCGTGTTGTTGTTGCTGTAATGATATGTTTAGTTTAGGTCAATTTGAAATTTTGAAGAGATGGTAAGCAGAGAAGCAAGAGAAATGAATTTTTTTAAGGAGCATTTACATACATAACACTCAATTCTTACGTATTTACATATCTAACACCTCAACTTTACTTTTTACATTTATATCACACAAATCTTTCATGTCACATTAAAAATACCACTATTTTGAACTTTTAAAAAGTGAAATGCACCATTTCATGCAAAGGTAAGGTGACATATCTATATAAAAATTAAAGTTTACATGTAAGATATGTATATCCAAAGGAATTGAGTGGTATGTATGTAAATTTTCCAATTTTTAATTTTAAAATAGAACCTTAAGTTTTTGAGGTATGGGCAAATAATTCTAATGCTAAAGATGTATTTCTCTTCTTAAGGAGCATTAACATACATGCCTAATTCCTATGCATTACATATC